ATCATTATACTAAGAAATATAGATTACTATTTTTAAGTGATTAACATATATGTTTCAGAAATTTTGCTCCCTTGAATAAATGATACTTCAACTACTTGCATTATTTAATACTTGTTCCTATGGTAGCTACAGAAATCAAAAGTTGCTTCTAATCTTTTGTTTAAATTAAGTGCTGCTGGGCATGGTGGCACATGCCTGTAATTACAGCACTCAGGAGGCTGAGACAGCAGAATTGCCCTGAGTTGGAAGCCAGCCTGGACTACATTGTGAGACGCTGTCTCAATAAAGAAAGCAAGCAAGCAAGAAAGGGAGAAAGAGAGAGAGAAAAAAGAAAGCCAATATATCTCAATCCCTGAAACCATTATTTAGTCTTTTAGATGCTAATATATTTTTAAACTACAACCAAAATGTGTTGCAGAAGAAAAAAAATTTTAACAATACTGTCATATCCCCTCAAGTATATGTATCTCAGTAAAAGTTACAATCTACAAGTAAAGATGAACCATGAATTCCTTAACTTTGGCCATTTTTTTCATTTACTTATGCATAAAAATGTGAGTAGCAGGCTGCCTACTAAGTGTGGGATATGCGCTACATGCTGGTTATAAAAATATGAAAAAGACATCACATGATTGATGAATATCCTGGCTATGAGGCAAACAGTACGAAGTGCCTAAACCTACACACATAAACATGTAACATAAACCTTGGTAAGCATTGTAAAGATAAAGACCAGGTGTTGGGAGACTAAACAAGGAAGTATCTTGACAAATGATCCACATGGTAATGCATATGACCCCTGACAGTACAAACATGAAGTGTCTTTCATTCAAAGGTCGGGTGCTAGTATTTTTTTTTTTAAGTCCCAGGAATCGAACTCCGGACCTTGCACTTGCCAGGCAGGCACTTTTGCCACTGAGCTATATCCCCAGCCCCCTCAAAGGTCATGTGGAAGAGTTTACTCAGAGAAGGAACAGCAAGATGATTGAAAGGCTCTATCCCAGAGCCAGGCTGCCTGCAATTTACTCATCAGCTCTGTGATAGGAACAAGCCATTTAAATACTTTGTGTCTCAATTTTCCCATGTATAATTTGGGGAAATATTAATACCTTCCTCACAGGATTGCTATAAGGACTGAGTTAAAAATTTTTGTGTTGGGGCTGGGAATTTAGCTCAGCGGCACAGCGCCTGCCTGGCAAGCACGAGGTCGTGAGTTTGATTCTTGGTACCGGAAGAAGAACAAAAACAAACAAACAAACAAACAAATTTTTGTGTTATTTTGCCCACTGCAAATCCAAACAAAAGTTAACAGAACTTGACAATAAGTATTAGCTCACATTAACCTGTTTCCTAGGTGACTATTTCTAAAATATTTTTAGAAGAGTGTCTGGTACCCAATTAGCATCCCACCATATATATGCAATTCTGCTAACTAATTACTTTAAATAAATTAACACAAAATGACTTGTAAAATACTTTCCAAAGAGAGCTGGTCATTTTCTCCTGTGATCCTAGAGGACAATGTACATAGAGAAAAGGCCAGGAGTATGGAAGAAAGGCAGAAAACAACAGGCAGGAGAGGAAGAAAGGGGGGAAGTCCAAGGTCATCACCACATCAACACTCAGAAGGTCAACAGCGCACTCTGCTGGACCCAAGTCTCTACTACATATATCAGCCAAAAAGTATTAAAATAAGCTGTTACATTCAATTAAATATAACTACTTTTATTAAAATATAAAGAATGTTAGCACTTATTTAGTAAATAAATTAAAAGCTAACAAGCATAAGAATATGTCTGTAACAATATCTTGCCAATTGCAATGATATACTAAAAGAATAAATATAAATTCTAGAGAAAAATATATGAATTGGTGGAATGAAGAATTGAAATGTTACCATTCTAATCTCAGCACCAGGATTTTTTCTTAACTTTTTTTTAACACTTTGACCAGGTGAACACTGATACCTCACTAGACCTCTGATATATGAATTACCAATATAAGAAAATTAAAATGCCAGGAAAGGGAACAGGCAGTGGATACTAGGTTACCCATATAAGGTAGTAGTAACATTATTTTCTTTTTTTCAGTGCTGGAGATAAAACCAGGGCATTGTGCCTGCTGGGCAGATTTGATCACTGAACTACTATTTTCTGATTTGAGCAGTGAAGAGACCAAAGACTGCAGGAAGATGAAAAGACAACTAACTCTCCAAGCCACAGTTTAGACATTAAGGGATTCTAATAAAAAATAAGAAAATATGAAAGGAAAACCTATGAAGTTTGGCGTCAAATTCAAAGGAAAACAATTTATTAAACTAATGTAATAACTTATGGAGAAATTTGTCCAAAGTAACAGAACTGTAGATAAGAAAAGTATAAAGATTATAATGCTGATACCTTTTCAGGGATAAGAGAACTAGGCCCTTAATTTCTGAATCTAAATAACTACTCTTTTGCGATCTGGAGATGTAGCTCAAAGGTACAGCAATTCCCAAGCACATACTTGCCTACTACGTACTTCAATACCCCACTCTCATCAACAGATAAATCATCCAGATCAAAACAAAGCAAAAGTTCAACAAAGAAGAATCTAAATTACACTACAGATGAAATGGACTAACAGATATCTAAAAATATTCTATCAGTTACAGTACACATTCAACAGCACATGAAACTTTCTCCAAATCATCATATAGTGGGTCTTAACAAATTCAAAATAATTCCTTGTATGTTATTAGATCATATGGAATGAAACTAGAAATCAATAGCAAGAAAAACTACAGAAATCACATAAACCCACAAAATTTGAACATACTTTTAAACAGACAGTGGGTCACTGTAGAAATCAAGGAGTAAATTTAAAACTGCAGTGAGATTCCATTTCACCCCAGTCAGAATGGCTATTAAAAGAAAAAATAACAGATGCTGGTGAGGATGTGGAAAAACAGGAGCCTTTATACACTGTTGGTGAGAATGTAAATTACCAAAGTTACCATGGAAAACAGTCTAGAGAAGTGACGGTGAACCTTTTAGAGTTTTCAATGACACAAACAGCCTGACGTGGCACACGTGCTACAGGCTCACCACAACTAGTCTACAGGTTCCTCAAAAAACTAAAACAGAACTACCATAGGATCCAGCTATACTACTCCGCGGGGGGGCGGTGTCAGCACACAAAAGAAAAGCCTGTAGCTGGGTGTGATGGCAGTAATCCCAGTACTCTGGGAGGCTGAGGCAGGAGGATCACAAGTACAAGTCCAGGGCTGGAGATTTAGCCTAGCAGCACAGCACCTGCCTGGCAACTGTGAGGTTGTGAGTTCAATTCCTGGTACCAAAAAAAAGTCCAACCTGGGCAACTGGGCAACTTAGCAAGACCCTATCTCAAAAAGTAAAAAAAGTAAAAAAGGGATTATAGTTCAACTCCTCCCCAGCCTCCCCAGTGCTGGTATTACAGACACGTGCCACCACGTGTGGCAAAATTTTGATCAGTTTAAAAGAAGCCATACAGTCACTAAAACACAAAATTATTATGTATGAAATTACTGTATTATTCTACTTCCCTCTGAAATCACCTATTGCAAAGTCTACAGAAAATACTTCTGTAATTTATGTCTCTTCGCAAAGACGAAAAAATGTTATAACAGAAACCAAAGTCTGTTTCCTAAAAAAAATTCTCCTCTATGATACCCAAAGATATCATTCTTTAAATAAGCTCTACTTATATCCCCTTTCTTCTTTTATGTTCACGGAGATTAACAAGGCTTTCTCTCTGAAAAACTAGATGCACTATTTAATGCTAAACATTCATGAGATAGTTAAGCTTACCAACAAGTTACTAAAGTGAAAGGACATTTACATGCACTGACATTTTCTAATGATTATTCCTATTCTAACTACTTATTCTATTTTTTGTTTGGAAGAAAATAATAAAACGAAAAGTGTAGAACATTTTACCTCAGAATTTATGGGGTTTGTTTGTCTAACCTTTCAGAAAGTATATAAAATTACTTTACATATTCATGTTTTGCATTACGAACTTCCCAAATGAACTATTAGAACTCAACCATGTTTTTTTACATTGTAAACATGCTTTAATGTCAGTTTACTATATGCATGTTTAATTGGTATGGCATATATCACTTACGTCCTCTTACAAACAAAATTTCTATGGCACACTAGTGAAATGTTACAATTGGAGTTATAAGATTTAACTGAGGGCCAGGAATATAGCTCAGGGGCACAGCACCTGCCTGGTGAGTGCAAGATCCTGAGTTCAATTCCTGGTACTCAAAAAGAAAAAAAAAAAAAAGATTTGAGACTTAGTGTGTTCAATAAATATTCACTTGTAAGACACTGTCAAAAAACAAGACCTTTAATATCATGAGTAATAAATCACCCACTTATAAAAAAATATCATTCCTTTTCTACAGAAATAGAAAATTATGTCATCTAAAGCCAAGGAAGAAAACTTAAGTCTTGATCTAAAAATAAAACTGATGTAAATATAGATATAATTATACTTTATTGATAACACTGTAACATTAACAATCCACGTACGTCAATATACTATCTAACCAAAAGGAGAAATCAATCAAAACATCTGGCTTAAAAGTTAGGTACTCAGAGTCAAGTGGTCTAGACTCTGAAAAGGTTTCATCCTTATAAGATATTAAAAAATGTTTTTACTTAATTCCTTTTTACCTTAGACCTAACTCCTCAAAATTTATATTAATTGGGTTGAGGATATAGTTCAGTAGGAGAGCGCTTGTTTAGCATACATGGATGAATTTCCAGCACTACCAAAAGAAAAAAATATATATATAAAACATCTCACATATTAGTAAGCAACATTTGATAGCACTTAGGACTTCTGAGTTGTTTTTCATTATTCTTTAAATCATAGTAGTCTTTTTTAAAAAAGTAGATTTAGAACATACATTTTTCTTCTTTAAACAAAACAACAGCATAAATACATACATTTTGTGAAGAAAAGTTTACCTTTCCTAATGGAGAGTTGAGTTTCAAAGTGTTCCCCAAAGCATCTTGTGCATCTGAATGGTGTACTTCCTTTTCAACACACTGACGCTTTCTAATCTGTAAATACAAAACCAGATGAAGTTTAACATGTTAAAATTAATTGACAGGCTAGTTGTCTCAAAGGTCAAAATACCTCTTTGGGTTTTTTCTATATTAAAAAAGAAGAATATTTCTAACTGGCAATAATCAAGTAATTTTTTAAAACACAAACAGGCACCTCATAGCACTTAAATGGAAAAGAACAGAGTAATACCTATTGAATTCTAGCCAAAATAGCTTTAATCAGTAATGTAACAATATTATAGCATTATTAAATAATCTTCCTATAAGATAATCCTACCATGTATACATCAAATAAAATATTTAAAGTTCAATCTCATATTTATTGGAAAATAAATAATTCGATATTTAAACCTCACTCTACATTGACAAGAACTCAGAATAAAATTTTAAAATGTACATAGTCATGATGTCCTACACAATAAACTACTTGATTGCTATTATTGCTATTATTTAGTAGATATTTGATAAACTAAATTGACTAAATTTCTTTTACAAATATCACTGTTTTCCTTTCAAACTGTATCCTTGCTTTTTTTCTACTTACCAAACACCTATTTAATTAAGTCAGAACAGAGTAAAAATAGATATTGATAATTCCATTCCTACCAAAGGATAAAAGAAATAAAAACCAATTAAGTCTAAGAATAAATGTTTTACAATTTACATTGTACCCTACTTCTAACATCCAACTCTATATAGTTCTAGGAGGTGGGAATCTCTATAAATTCACACTTCATTTATAATTTGCGCTTTTGCAAAAATAAAACAGCACATTCTATTTCTAAAAACAAGTTTTACTTATAGAAATATATTAACTGTAGAATGTTAAACTACGTAAGAATACAAATACTTTGATGTGGTGTGGTGTTACATGCCTATAATCCCAGCCCTCAGAAAGCTAAGAGACTGCGAAGTTCAAGGCTAGCCTGGGCTACATAGCAAGTACCAAGCCATCATACAGGACAGATGTAACCCTCCAAAAAACAGAAAAAACGAAACAAAACAAACAAATATTTTGAGCATATTTGATTAAATGATTAAAGGCTAATTAATGCTCATTATAAGTAAGTCTATTAAAATTCCAGTCTCTTACTCTGAGAAGAAAAACTTTCCTCACCTATAAAAAATATATTTTATTAAAAGTATCTGGCAATTCAGGTCTTCTAATAATTTTTAGAAATATACACGTTTTATCATGTAGTACCAATCTCAAAAACTCAGTAGAAGTAAACTTTGTCATTATACTAAAACCATCAATGCCAAAATATCCATAATGTGAATTTTATACCAAAGCTATTTTGATCAAAAATTATTAGATTAACAACAATGAAATACAGGGCCAGGGATATAGCTCAGCGGCATAAGTGCTTGCCTAGCAAGCCTGAGGTCATGAGTTCGATTCCTGGTACCAAAAAAAAAAATGGAATAGAGCCATTTAAAAAATGCAACGTGGGGCTGGGGATTTAGCTCAGCGGCAAAAGCGCCTGCCTGGCAAGCGCAAGGTCGTGGGTTCGGTTCCCGGTACCGGAGAAAAACCAAAAAAAAATAAAAAATAAAAAAAAAATAAAAAATGCAACGTTGCTATACTACCAAAATATGGCTTAAGTATTTTGCTGTCAAATACTCATATAAGAAAAGCATCATGTAATTTGGCTTTAACGATACAGTAAATAAGCAGCTATAATCACAAATTTCTTTGTAATAAGTAACTGTACAAAATGAAATTATAATAAACAACCAGTTAATTTATGGATGTGACAAGACCAAACTAATTTCCACAAGTGCCACTGAAAACTTGATTGATACTTGGCTACCATGTTGAACTATAACTAGATTATTTCAGTCAACATATTCTGTTTACCTGCTGGGCAGTTTCAAGGGGTCGAATTCTTTTCTTCTCTACTTGAAAATCACCGTTTTCTTCTCTGTATTTGGATGCCTGTTTCTTAGCAGATAACTTTGCAGCCAGTGTGTTTTTTTCAGGAGAATCTTACAAAAGAAGTAATTAAAATTGGCATAAATAAGGCAATCTTTACAAAAGAAAACTAAAACCAAGATGTGAGATTTATTTCTAAATATTTCATACCTTAACTTAAAACCTGAAATACTACACATTTAAAAAGCACTTCTTTAACATTCAGTTTACAAACACATAACAAACATTTTGAGAAAACACGCTTTGATAGAAAAATCTATTATGACTTAATAGATTCAGGTTTTTGTAGACTATTCTAAATAACATGGTCTAAGAAAGAACGTAAGAGTCTCTCAAGACTTAAGACCAACATAAGGGTTGGCCCTGGGTTCAATCCCTAGCACAACAAAAGAAAAACCTGAATGAGAGGGTCATACATGCAAGAGGAAGTCTAATTCTTTTTAAAAACTGGAAATACTGAGTGCTAACAGAAATGTTGAAAGTTTTTTATATACAGGCATATCTTGAGAGATTTTCTGAGTTTATTTACAGATTGTGTCAATAAAGCAAATATTGCAATAAAATGAGTCTCCTGACTTTTCTGGTTTCTCAGTGAATACTGCACTGTAACCTACTAAGTATGCAACACCACAGTCTGAAATTTAACAATAAATTACTGCTCAAAAATTCTTTTTTTTTTTTTTCCAGTACTGGGAATCGAACCCACGACCTTGTGCTTGCCAGGAAGGCACTGTGCCGCTGAGCTAAATCCCCAGCCCCTATTGCTCAAAAATTCTAACTATCATCTGAGCTACTAGGGAAAAAAAAGGCATCAATATACTTTAATGCACAAACTTCTTCAATTGCCACAAACTTTCAATTTGCAAAAACAAATCTGCCAAGTGCAATAAAATGAGGTATGTCTATATTGGGGAAAAGCAAGATGAAGGAAGGAACACATAAATTGGTTCAACCACTTTGGAAAATGTTGGCAGTATCTACCATAGTTAAATATACAGGCTAGGCGTGGTGCTGCATGCCTGTAATCCAAGCACTCAGGCTGAGGCAGAAGACAGCTGCAAACTTGAGACCAGCCTGGGCTGCAAAGTGAGCTCAAGGCCAGCCTGAACTGCACAGTGAGACCTTTTCTCAAAAAGACAAATAAATAAATAAATATACTTATATATTCTTAGATATGTAGCTAACAGAAAATACTTATTTGCACAATAATGTTCATAATTTTATTATTAAACAAAAGTAAAACTGCCCAATTATCTTTTTTTTTTTGGTACCAGGAATCGAACTCAGGACCTTGCACTTGCCAGGCAGGCACTTGTGCCGCTGAGCTATATCCCCAGCCCCAATTATCTAATAACCATAGAACTGATCAATAAATTCTGGTATATTTATACAAGGAAACAATAAACAGAAACAAGAGGTACTAGTATATGCAACAATATGGATTAATCTCAAATACAATGTCAAGCAAAAGAAGGTAGACATAATAGTACATATACCATTTCAGTTCTATAAAGAGGCAAAATTCATATTAGTGACAGAAGAGGGTCAACATTACCTATGGAAAAAAGGGACAATGACTACAAAAGACAATAAGGGCCACTGAAGTGTTGGTAAGGTCTTGTGTTTCATACAGGAGGTGGTTACATGCATCTATTCACTTGATGAAACTCATCAAGCTATACATGTAGGATTTGGACTTTTCTATATTTAGAAGTTATATCTTATTACAGAATTTACTTACAATTCAAAAGCATCAAACACATACCGGATTTACTCTGTCTGGACTATCAACAATCCCAACTGACCACAGTTCAAAGAAAAAGTATTTTTAATATTATTTTTTAAATCTTATATTAGTTTTAATATATTTCTCTTAGTGCTATTACATTCCTGATTCTTCTTAGGTTACTGGCTTTGGAAGATCAAGCTAATTTATCAAGAATAAATGAATGAGGCTAATTTGATATTCTCTCAGCATATAAATACTATGACTTATAAAATTCTAAAAGATAATAATATTGGCTACAAATATTATTACTAAAAAATCATTTATTTTGCTTTACCTTCATCAAAAAATGTCTTAAGCCACAAAATATCTTTATATATATTAAAAGTCAAACCAAGAATTTTTAAAAGTCCAAGGATTATTGGTGACCCTGGGTGCTATTTTAAATAATTCCAGCTGGGAGCCCAGCTTGATGGCCCACATCTGTAATCCCAGCATGCTGGGACGCTGGGGTAAGGAGATCGAAAATTCAAGTCTAATCTGGGCAATTTAGTAACTCAGCAAAACCCAGTTTCAGAATGAAACAAAAAAACACATTTTTTTGGTTTGGTTTCTTTGAGACAGGGTCTCACTCTGTAGTTCAGGTTGGCGTTAAGTTCACTATGTAGCTCTAGCTGGCCTTGAACTCATGGCAATCCTCCTGCCTCAGCCTTCCAAGGCTGGGATTACAAGTGTGCATCAAAACAAAAAATTTTTAAGAAGGGCTGAGAATGTAGCTTCCTGGGCTTAATCCCTAGTACCACAGGGGAAAACAAAAAGAATTCCAGCTGTGGGGGCTGTTCAGTGGGGTGTGAAGAGGCCCTAGGTTCTATCCCTGGCTCCAAAAATAAATTAACTCCAGGCAGCACCTAGTAAGTGGTGTAGTGGATTGATAACTGGTGGTCAACTTATAACCCCCAGGTGAACTGAGTAAGTGTGGTGCTGGGTGTGGGAGGCCCACCTGGGGATTGCTGCCAGCAGCATAAGAGGTAGAACTGGAAAAGGAGGAGGAAAAGGCTGCTGGGAGCGGAGAAAGGCTGCTGGGAGCTGGTGGAAGCTGTAAGGAGCTGTTGATTCTTTTGGAAGAGCTCATCATGCTGGCTCTCCTGATGAACTTGGCTGTTTTCATCCTCATAGGAGCTCGGGACCTCGGGACCTCAGGACCTCATTGAAACTGAGAATGGCTTTGGTTCACTTTGGGGGAGCTCCGGTCCTCACTTTGAGCATCGCTTCCTGGCTCCGGAGGGGAAGATGGTGCACTACCAGTCTCCAGAAGCTTGCTGCACTGGCTTCCCTGATGGGAACTCAGCCATTTTGATCATCAGGAGGAGCTCAGAACCTCACTGTTGCTGAGGACGGCTGTGGTACCTTTCGGGAGAGCTCTGATTCTTCTGAGCATCACTTCCCGGCTCCAGTGCAGATCTCTCAGCCTGCTAGCACAGATCCTTCACCCCACTGGCACAGACTTCCTAGATTCCACCACTGACCTTTGGGCCTTCCAGAGCTGATCCATGAAACAGGCCTGCATGAGACGTTGTGGGTTCTGGGCCTCCAGATAGATTCATGGGAGGCACTGTTATGAGCTTTAGGTATTCAGCTGGACTCATGTAGGACATTTGTGGGATCCAGGCCCTTAGCTGGATTCCTGGTCTATAGTGTGTGGACTCTCTTAGGTATATCATTCTTTGGGTGACTATTATAAATCATTTTATAAAATATGTATCCTGTATTATATTGTTCCCCTTGCAAAAATAGCCCCAAACCAACACAGTTGGGATTAATTATCAACTTAGCAAGGCCCTGTCTCAAAATTTAAAGAAGTAAAATTAAAAAGGGCTGGGGATATATAACGCAGTATGAAAGTCTTGGATTTAAATCCTAGTGCCAAGTAATAATAACTATTATTATTATTAATAATAATATCATTTTTTATTATTATTATTGCCTAAAAATTAAGTCAACTACATTTATCTAAATTAGACCACATAACAGTAACAACTAAAGCTCCAATTACAGATACTAACAGAACCAGGAAAAATACAATTTACCTTGGCAAGTTGATGAAGTGCCATTCCTTTCAGGTGGTGGAGTACCAGGGCTACTGAAATGATGCGAAGTCTCTCGGCTCACATCACTGTGTGTAGGATTCTTTGAATGGCATGCACAACAACATGACAATGGTACCTCAGCTTTTTTATTTAAGCCTTCATCCACTGGCTTCCCTAAAAGTGAAAAAAGGTGGAGGCACATTTATAATACATCTAATTAAATAAGCATTCATCTTTCTCTGTAGCTAGGGTGAGCAATCACCTCAATTTACCCAGGTTTGAGATGTTTCCTAGAACGCAAGATTTTTAAGACTAAAACAGAACAGTGCTACCCCTGGCAATGTGGACAAGATGGTCAACCTATCTACAGCTTCAAAGAACAAGAGAGAAATACTCATGCTGGAAACATTTATACGAAAGTTATAATCAAGCTATATAATCCACAAAAATACAAAAAAGATTACTAATACAATAAATGCACAACTACTCAAGTACTCATTTATATAGAGATGTATTTAAAAATCAAGCTGAGGGGGCTGGGGATTTAGCTCAGCGGCAAAGCGCCTGCCTGGCAAGCACAAGGTCGTGAGTTCGGTTCCCGGTACTGGAGAAAAACCAAAAAAAAAAAAAAAATCAAGCTGGAAGACCTAAAGTATATTCTTAATGGCTAGTTCCCTAAATGAAAGACTTGAAAGTTAAATATCATAAACAGTAATGTAAATATATAAAGGTTACATTATTCCCCACATTATACTTTTATTCTAAATAGAAACATTCTAGGATGTATAATTCTATCAAAATACATTTTAAGACCAGTATTCAAGTTCAACAAAACATAATTTTGACACTTCAATATATAGAATACAATGCCTATATTATACATACACACAGTGTACAAATTCACAATTAATACATGCTATAAATGCTGAATAAGCAGGGCATGGTGGCACATGCCTGTAATGCCAGCTCTTGGGAGGTTGAGGCAGGAGGGTCGTTGCGAGTTCAAGGCCAGCCTGAACTGCATAGCGAGACCCTGTCTCAAAAAAGACCAAAAAAAAAAAAAACACCTGAATAATTTCCTTTTTAAAAATATTACTTGGCCGAGGACATAGCTCAGCAGCACAGCACCTGCCTGGCAAGCAGAAGGTGTTGAATTCAATTCCTGGTACCAAAAAATATATATACTACTGACAGTATTTACTCCTTTGTACCACACAACAAATTCTCTTTCCAGATATCTGCCATTAAAACTTTAAGTTATTAAAAAAATTTGGTAAAATTTTAAGTAACTGATAATCTCAAATTGCCCAGACCAACATTAGTAAAAATCAAAATGGACAATAAAAAGCCTATAAAATTATTTTTAACACAGTCGTATCAGCAATAGCAACATTTCCTTTTAAAAATGATTCTTTATACAGTTAACTTCAAATTCTCATACCTTTGGCCTAAACTACCATAACTAAAATGTATTTAGATGATTATAGTTCAGTTTATTTAGTTTTTCGTAAGTGTAAATATTTAGTGGTATTTGTTAGCAAATAAAGTCAAAGTAATGGAAAATAATATGAACTCATACAAACAATATTACGATAAACTTTTTTATCTAGCATCCAAAAAAGTAGAAAGAACTACAACGTTTTCTTTCTTATACATTTCCATGTTCCTATATTATGAGGAAAGACCAGATAAATATATTGGAGGACTTACTTTTAAAAAATTAGTAATTAGTATATATATTATTTAGCACAACAGTCTCAACTCTTGTTTCTCTGGGGTTTTTTTTCTCTCTGCGTACTGAGCATTGAACCCAGGGCCCTCACACTGATCTCCATCACCAGCCGGTTAGCCCTTTTCTAAAATTTTCAGACAGGGTCTTGCTATGCTGCCCAAGCTAGCTTCAAACTTGCCATCCTTCTGCCTCAGCTTCCCATGCTGCTGGGGTTACAGGTGTGTGCCACCATACCTGTAAATTGTTTACATTTTTTTTTGAGACAGAACCTTACTATGTAGTTTAGGCTGGCCTTGAATTCACTATGTAGCCCAAGCTGGCATCAAACTCGCAGTAACGCTCCTGCCTCAGCCACCCAAGTGGTGGGATTACAGGCATGCCCTGCCACACTTGGTTTACTTGCCTTTTTTTCAGGGGAGCGGGGAGAGCTGGGTTTTTGGGGGGTTATTTTTTTGTTTTTTGAGACAGGCTCTTGCTACATAGCACAGGATTTACTATGTGCTACATAGCACAGAATTTACTATGTAGCCCAGGCTGGCCTTGAATTTGTGGCAGACCTCCTGCCTCAGCCTCCTAAATGCTAGGATTATAGGCATAGGCATGCACCACCACACCCTGCTCAAGTGCATTTTTTACATATAAATTATCATCTAATTACTGTCATTAACTCTAAGCATCCAAAATTCTCAATATACTTTCTCAATCATTAAATAAAAGACTAAATTACGTTCATATTGTTTTAGGATTAATTAAACATATTTTGCTGTATGGAAACTCTTTTGGAAACATATGACATTAAAAAATCTTAAAAGACAGTATTTAAATTTGCTAGAATGTGGTTGAACTACTCATAAAAGTACTTCATTATATTTGTTCAGATTTTAACAAGCAATCTGAAGAGATCAAGCTACTACTTACCACTAAAAGACTGTTGCCATGCTAAAGCAGAACAAAGCAAGGCTAAGCTTTTTCCACTTCCAGTAGGGCTCTCCAACAGACAATGCTGCCTACTGTTCAATCCTCTGACAATCTACGGAGACAGAACCCAATTTAATAGAAAATCAATAAACATTTTACTGGGAGCTGGGGATATAGCTCAGCGGCACAGCACCTGGCTGGCAAGCGTGAGATGGTGAGTTCAATTACCAGCACAAAAAAAAAAAAAAAAATTACCTTCTTAGGTCTCTTTCCATCAGAAGTACAAACAAAATAGCAAGGAGAAGCAAGGCTGCACTCCAGGGAACAAAGCAATACCACATTAGCATTTAGCTAAATCTAGACTTTATTCCTTTACCCTTGGCCCGAAGATTATGTGGGACTTTCAAGCCTATGAAGCACAAGAGATGAAATGAAAAACGTGATTTGGGCTTTACTTATGCAATCACGTCTGTCAAACTGGAATGCACTGCCAGGTATAGCGCAGCATGCCTGTAATCCCAGCCACTCAGGAGACTGAGGCAGGAAGATGGCAAATTCAAGGCCAGGCTAGGCAACTTGGTAAAACCTTATGTTAAAATAAATAAAATAAAAAAGGGCCGGGGATGTAACTCAGAACTTCTTGGGTGGAATCCCCAAAACTGCAAAAGGAAAAGTATGGGGAAGGAAATTAATAATTTGTAGTAAAGCTAAAATTCCTACCTCCAACCAAATCCAACCACATGTACATTTTTCCTTATATAAACACAAAGAAGGGGCTGGGGATTTAGCTCAGCGGCAAAAGCGCCTGCCTGGCATGCGCAAGGTCGTGAGTTCGGTTCCTAGTACCAGAGAAAAACCAAAAAAAAAAAAAAAAACCACAAAGAAAACCATGTAAGAAAGTTCCTAACAGCATAGTTTGCTGATTGCAAAAGAATATAAATAAGCTAAACGCCTAACAATAAAAAGAACAGATAAAATTCTTCCATTCATACTATGCTGCAACGGAAATAGATAAACAATCAAAAGGACTACATTTAAAAAGATAATGTTAAGCAAAAAAAAAAAGGAGGAGGAAGGAAAGAGGGAGGGGGAAGAAGGGAAGGGGAGGAGGCGAAGAGGAGGAGGAGGAAGGAAAGGAGATGGAGAGAAGTGGGGGGAGGAAGGAAGAAGGAAGAGGGGAGGGGGAGAGGGAGAGAAGGGGAGGGGGAGAGCAAGGAAGGAAGAGCTGGAAGTGTAGCTCAGTGGCAGAACACTTGCCTAGGATGCATGAGGACCTGGGAGGGATCCCCCATTACAAAAAGAAACAAGTTTTGAGAAAGGCATAGTATCATACTACTGTACTGTTTTTACTGTTGTTCCTACTACAGATTGCCGTGCTCAGGACTGAGCCCAAGGCCTCCCACAACATGTATCTGGCAAGCACTTTACTCCTAAAGTACAGCCCTAGCCACTTTTTTTTCTTTATTTTGAGATAGGTTCTAAATTGCTTAGATTACCCTCAAACTCCTTAGGTTGCTCAGACTGCCCTCCCACCTCAGTCTCCCAAGTCACTAAAATAGTAGGCATGTGCCACTGTGCTCAGCTCTCGGCTCAACGCTTGAACATATGTAAAATAACACCCTATATTGCTTATGGCTACGTATGTAGTAAAAATATAAAAACATACTGAGAAAGAAAAAGAACAAATTCAGGACACTAATGTGATATGAGGTGAACTTGGCAAAATATTAAGATATAACAAACTGGACACTTCCTTTACTCAAATTTTTATATTAATTTTCTGTATGTTTTAAATGCAATGGCTGTCTATATCCACAGATTCCTCATTCATGGATTAAACTAACCACAAGTCAGTAATATTCAAAAAAGGAAAACTTTGTCTGCACTTAACATGTTCAGACTTCTTTCTTGTCCCTATTCTGTAAACAACAGAGTACAACAATTTACATAGCACTTCCATTGCATTAGGTATTATAAATAATCTAGAGATGATTTACAGTATATGGGGAGAAAGCAATATGAACACAGCTTATATATAAATAGTGCACTGTTTTATATAACGGACTTGGATATCTGAATTTTGATCCAAGCTGAGTTTCTGGGACTAATCCCATACAGGTACTTAGGGATGACCGCCCTTAATGGTGAGAAATATAGTACTCTGTAAAAGATAAAAAAATACTTCGTAGAAAGCAGTAATTCATTAGAGGAAAAAGAAGTTCCAAATACTTCTCAGAATCTTTTTGCATCCTAACCATAGATATGTACAGTTAACAGTAATCAATATTACTTTCTCAAAGCTTATTCTTTCAAGAGAACCCTGCAAATATTCTCAATTCATTTACTGAGAATATTAATATAGTCACATACTCAATGTACATCATGGATCATAGGTTTTTGTATCTCAATAAAGACAATTACTAAAAAGATACTTACAGAATTCATCATAGCAAGCTGTGATGGGTACGCTTTACAGGGGAAGTTAATCTTCACCCCACCAATTGTGTATACGGAACACATTGATGACATCCCACGTTCTTGTTCACTTCAGATTCCTAACTGCAATACAAACTAAAAACAATATTGAAACAAAGTCATTCAAAGAAAAGTACTTAATAGTAGGACAGAAGTCTGTAAAATGAAAACTGGCATAAACACAACAAATGGAAGCAAAAGAACTCCCCAGGGTCCGGGGATAGGCACAAGCGCCTGCCTGGCAAGCGCAAGTTAGAGAGTTCGATTCCCAGTCCAAAAAAAAAAAATAAACTCCGTAGTCCTATAAATAGATCCCAGTGGTGGAAAGCATGTCCTAGGGCCTGACAAATCTGGATTTGCATCCCTATTCTGCCATCCACCCCTTGTATAACTTTGGGCAAGCTGACTTTTCTAGACCTCAGTGTCTTCACCCATAAAATAAGGATAGTGGGAATATCTACTCTGTAAGACTGCTGCAAAGATTAAACGAAACAATGTGCAAACATGATACAGTACATGCCAGTTTCTGCGTGAACTCCTGTTAAGACCTTAGATCAAATATGATCAAGCTATAGTGTAGCTGGGTGTGGTGGCATACACCTGTAATCCCAGCACTCGGGAGGCTGAGGCAGGAGGATCGTTGCGAGTTCAAGGCCAGCGTGGGCTACAAAGTGAGCTCAAGGCCAGCCTGAACTGCACAGCGAGACCCTGTCTCACAAAGACAGGAAAAAAAAAAAAAATCAAGCTACAGAAAGGAATAGATTCCTAAAGCAACTGTCTCCATTTCCTTACCACTCTCTTTTTTCCCTATTCTGTGCATTCCTGTTTCCCTTTCCACAGTCTTGGAGTTAGAAGGAAAAGGGGGTGGGCCAGGAGTCAGCAGGTTTTAAAAGGTTCTCTGTTATGTTGCCTTTGACATGTTTTTTCCCTTCTTTGGTCTAAGATCCTATTCTGTAGTAATTCCTACTTTAAAAATTGCTGTAAGGGAGAAACTGCTTTGGGATGTAGTAGGTGCTCAGTAATTCTTACTTAACGGTGGGTGAAGTATAATGGAAAGTCGACGGGTTTTGGAGTGAGGCAAATCCAAGTTTGAATTTTACATTGTAAATCAATCTCTTGGACCTTGTTTCTTCATCTCTGGAGCTGAGATTGGACTACTTATATGACAGGGTCTCGCAAATTAACCAGGACAGAATGTGCGTAACCTAGGACCTGACTCAGAAGTGATTTACTTTCATCTTCACCTCTTCTAAACCTAGAACCCACAGATGGCATTCAGAAACTGTCACTTATTAAAAGTGTCCGTGGAACCTGGGTACACGCCTGAATTTTTCTGAAGAGAAAGTCCGCCGATTAATCTCCACATAAACATCTCCCGGGGACACCACAAAAGGGGGGAATGCTGCGCACTCGGCGACTGAGGAGTTCGTGTAGGAACGGGGAAAGGGATAAAAACCTGGGGGTGCAGACGGTTAAGGCTGCAATCCAACAGATCGTGGGGCCAATAAAGAAGCTTCACCACGGCCTGCGTGTTCCTAAGGACCCCGGGTTCGAGCCCCGCCCCGCCAGGAAACGAACAGCAAGTCTTCCGTGGGATTTCCCGTTCTAAAAGTGAGCCTCCCCGCAGGAACGCGGTGCGGCGGAGTCCAACCTCTCAAGCTGAACCAAGAACGCAAGGCCGAGCCCAGACACGAGCCAGAGGAGCCTCCATCCCCTCAAACCCGGCGCCGCCGCCCCGCCCAGAGCGCGCGCCGGCGGACTGCAGGGGGCGCCCTCGCCCGGGCTTCCCGCCCGCCGCTCCCGCCCGCCGCTGCCGCCCGCCCCGCTCGCGCTTGCCTGGCTGACGGGAAGCCGAAGCGGCACCCCGCGCTCCGACTCACGGGGAAAAAGAAACCGACTTTGAGGGCGAGGTCGTAGAGCACGAGTGCGGAGGAAAGGGCTCAAGCCTCCATCGTCTCCCTCCCGCCCCCTCAGAGCTCCGACTCGCTCCGCGAGGCCGCCGCCGGGGCCGCGCAGCTTTTCCCACCTCGCAGCTCTCAGGACGCTGAACTACGCGCACCGGACGAATTCCCGCCTCCCACCCCTAGGCTCCAAGCAGCCAATCGCCAAACGTGTTCAGACAACCAATCACGCGCCAAGGGAAGAAGACGAGCAACCAATCCCTGCGCGATGTTAGGGGGCGAGACCTCTAGCATCCAATAGGAGCCCCCGACATAAGAACCGACCCAGGGCACTTGGCGGCTCCGGAAAGCAATCACCAGCAGAGGGAGAGGTGAGGTTTGCTTAAAGGAGAAAGTCTTCCCCGTTGGATTTTTGAAATGGTGACTTAGCTCACGGAAGCGTTTCTCTTTAGACCAACGGAGAGGGTGTATCTTCAAGCCTTGCCTAATTCTCAGGCCTTTCATCAGTGCCACTCAGTTTAAATTTCCCAGCTTTGCCGTGGCCAAGGTATCGGAAAAAAACCTGAAACTGGAATTGCCAGTCTACTGAGCCAAACTAGCAGAGAAGGTTGTGTGACGGCTGGTACAATGTTTCTTAATGTTCAAGGCTTTCCCGTGTCATAGAACCAGCCAGAGATACGCTATTGAGGTCTCCACCAACAGCGTACTTCCAAGGTTCACCTGCCTTCCATCCCTCCTACGACCATTGTATTCTTCTATCAAAAAGTCAATTCAGTATTCTCAGAGATAAGGAGTTACTCATGACCTCGCCAAGTTGCATAATTTTGATTTGGGGTCTTACAATTCTGTATAGCCTAACCTTGGCTCAAATACTAGTGTCCCAAAAGGGCAAAATCTGGGACAGTTTCTTAAATTCAAGTAACTAGTTTGGAGAGAAGAGCTTTACTGGGAGGAGGAAGAATAAGACCTGTTGAATTATCTATCTTCTACATCTTCATAAAAGTAAATTCTATCCTTTGATTTAATAATCTCAGTCCCAGGGATTTATCCTAAAGACATAATCTAAGAGAAAAAATGCTAACACCTCAACTGACAATGATGCCTATTTGGCATATTTGAAAAACGTATAAACTCTCCAGTCTGATACATCAATTCAATAGATTAGGAACGCAATAAAAGTATAAAAATCTTACTTGCAAGAAAAAAACGTTGCATAATGTTAAATGGGAAAGAAAGCTGGGTGTTGGGGTGAGGTGTTACAAGTTGGCGTTAGAAATTCAATAATGTGAAAATATATATGACTACACGAAGATGAAGGGGTAAGTCACTGTTTCAATGAGATGAAGGATAATTCATAAAGATAAATCCTTAAAAACAACTTTAAATCATTATTTTGCTTTTACAGATTTTTAAAACATCAAATCTTTTAGGTAACTGCTACAGGGCAACTACTATCAACTTCCTCATCTAAATCCCAAAAGCTTTTCAATGGACTCTGGCCTCACTGGCATTCATTGCACACGGCCCAACAGAAAGGAACACACCTGAGTCAAAAAAAACCCCCGCAGTCCTGGATTCCATGGCCTTGAACCATTTCTTTAAGGTTTACAGCCACAGAATGAAACACAAAAAAAGGACAAGTTCATTTGATAAGAATATGAATGTTTATAAATCAATATTCAAAATAGCTGCACACATCTGCTTTCGCTTGAATAAAAAAATCACATTGTGACAAATTTTATAATCTTAACTTAAAATACATGAATATTAACATTTACTAATATATTTACACATTTTATTTACATCATCAACAAATCTGATGAAAAACAACATATGTTGTTATTTTTACACAGCAGGTTTTAACCAGTCTTTGAAAATTGACCCAGGACATATGTACTGCATTTAGTTAGAAAACTTACTGCAACCTTTTCTGAAGGTGACACCTACCCACGCAAAATACTCCAAGGCCTCAGTTTAAAAATAAAACAGGAGCAGCTGTATTTAATCTTAAGTACTACAAAACTGCCTTGTTTAAAAATATGAAAATTCTTACGGCATTTTTAAGCATATGATTTTATTCTTCACATCAAAATTATTTAATTGAACCATAAGCGTGTAATAAAAAGTTATAAATATTCTGTCACACATGATACTATGCACTTCATTATTGGAAACAGCTACAAACTAGTTTTGTAGAATACCCTTATGAGGTAGGGCCAATAGGAACCCCATTTTACAAAGAAGGAAAATGAGATGTGTATTTGCTAGTGAAAAGGCTGAAGTTAAATTTCTTTTCTTAAAAAACACACTTATTTAATTAACTTGCCTAATTTCTTTTACAAGTGAAGAGGTCTGTTTCCAGTGGAGGGAAAGTGACTGAGGTATATCTCAGAGAGTAAGAAGGTCCTTCTGCGTTAGATACTTAATTTGGGGGGTGGGAATGGGGCTTATGGTTACCTGAATGCATCTACCCTAAACCACGGAAATTACTAACAGAGGACTGCAGAATCCTTCAGCAAAACAGTATTTCCCACATTGGAATTTTTCCTGAGGTTCAAACGCTGTATACATTTTCTCACCCGAAGATCTTCTCAAAGTAAAATGTGAATTATCATCTTGATGACAAACCAAGAGCTCTTTAACCCAGTCGGTTTTATTGCTCTTTCATTGAATTTTATACATATTCCCCTCTCTGAGAATTAGATAAGTTAATAAAGCACTATAAAAATAAACTTTAAAAAATAAAATAAATGAGACTTCCTTTCAGGTTCTTCTTTGTTGTTCCTGTAAACACTTTTAAATCAGTATTTTAAACTTCCAAATTATTCAAGTATCTCTTTAAACATATGGCTTCATATATTAGTAAAAGTTGAAGCAAGTATGTGATATCTATAAATCCTCACCTGTAATTCCATGGAAGTCATTTCTAGAAGCTACCTGCCTTTCCTTAAAGCCTTCTCAACACTGTTTCTTGAGAACTAGAATTCCAACCTGCTCTACTGTTACTTGCATTGTAAGTCTTTGAGATTTCTATTGGGGTATTTAACTCCTAATTTTTCCTGAATTCTCCTTCCTGTGATCCTTTTCTCTCCCTCTCATCATTCCACCTCTACTGTACTTTTACAAGCTCACAGTTAAATACTAGGGCTACCCACATGCTCATTTTTAGAAGAAATGAAAGGCATGGCGATCTTTCTCGCTTCAAAAGCTAAGTAGAAGGCCAAATTCCCTTTCTAGTAGCGAGTTCTTTAATGTGCTCCCAATGGAAAAAAAGCTCAGCTGCTACAAGATACACATACCAGCAAAGGAGATCCAAAGACGTGCCAATCAAATATAAGCAAGCATAATTCTCAGAGATTCTAAGCTGTATTCACGTTGAACTGAGTCATTTGAGCAATTCCGAGACATCACTGTTCCCATTCAGTTTGGACTTGCTATAGGATGCAGATTTCATGTTGGGTGTACGCAGCAAACAGCTTCACTTTTTTGACTTAAAAAATTTTTTTTAAATTCCACTAACACTCATATTTATTATTTCAATTATTGTGCTTTCAATACAATGGCAGAGCTGTACATCAGGATCCAGGCTTGTAGTGTCCCTGGATCCATTTTTATTAGCTGGATCTTTACAGATTCGTGACCATCCACTTGGTTTCTCCTTTATTTGTTGAAGGCCTAAAAACATAAGAAAGAAAAACAAATAAAGGCAAGGACTCTGGAAAGGAATTCAGTCGTCTTTGAGATAGTAAGGTCACTCTTGAAAATGAGTTACCACTTACGTGTAATAATTGGATCAATGTCTCTTGTCTGAGTGGCAACATCAGAGGCACAAACTTGTCCTATCTGAATCAGTAAAGACATAATATCCTCATACAGTGGAGGAAATGCTCGGCAAAAAGAGACCAAACTTGGAAGAGTTGGCATGAAAAACGCATACCGCTTAGCCTGTGTTAAAACTGTTGGAAAGAAATTAAACAGAATTTTTTATTTCACAAATATATATTGAACATATGCAACCTATACAACAAATAAAGCACCATGCTTCGCACTGGAAATACTAAATCTCTAACTCACTGCACACCCTGCCTTCAAGAGAGCCTACAGTCTAACAGTCATCATCCAATACAGGAATTTTTCTTATGCCCAAGCGCTATAACAAGGGCACTGCATGCATTATTCCACTTAATTCTCACCATTTCCAGAATGACACCTATTTTACATCTGTTAACTTTTAACTGAACTTGATATGAATCACACGGCCAGTTAGTGGAGAAGGTGGGACTCAATTCAGGCAATATAAACTCTTAACCACTATAAAGAATTATATTGTGAGATGAATACAAGGGAAAGAAAAATGAACATAGTATTATGAGAACACCAACAAAGAATACTAAATTAAACCACAGTTTTAAAAGACTCAACAATAAAGTAGCTTATCTCCATACCATTTTACTCTATAAATCACAAGGTTGTTAAAATATTAGCATATGTTTTAGAACTTAAGGAAACTAGTATAGTTACATCTTCTTTATAGATGTATGATTATATTTTTCTAGAGGTCTGAGCACTTATAATAAATATTAACTTGTTTTCTACTAAATAATTACATTCATAGAGTCGATGTGGCTTTTATTTAAAAGAATGTGATCTTATTACAGCCACTGTAACTCCATACGTATATCTATTCATTCACAAAATTAAACATATGATTTACCTACCTGTTATCTCCTCTATACTATAATCACATTTTAAATAGAAGAATCTTCAAAGCAATAATTCAAAAGATGACTTAAACTACATAGCAACATATGTTGTATTATAGTTTCATAGTAACACAAAAAACTACAGTCAGAAAATAAATGCACAGCAGTAATTCATGTTAGAAGTTTTTGTTGTTGATGTTGACTGGCTACACACCTGTTAGCAAAGTTCCCATGACATTGACAGCTAAGCGAGCCACACTAAGTGACTTAGGTAATGCATACTGGATACACAAGTGAGAAAGCAACTGGATAGCAAATATCTGTAACACAAAATCCAAGTGTTACATAATTCTCAAGAAAATATTACATATTAAAAATTATAAGATGTTTTATATAACTAGCAAGACTACTCAGAGAGAGATCAGAATTTTTTGTTTGTTTGCGTTGTTTGGGGACCGGGTTTCGCTATACATCAAGGCCAAGATTGAACTATGTAGCCCACACTAACCTCCAACTTGCGATCCGCCCACCTCCCAACAGCTAGCAGTACCAGGATATACCACCACTCTAGACTCTCAGCATTTTCTTAAAGCTCCAAAATGTTCATTACCTGTTTTTCAAGTTCTGGCTGTGCAATAAGCTCAGGTATAAAATCCAAACAGATATGCATAGACGGAATACCTGCGACCGTCAGAGGCAAGAGTTCACACGGATAACCCTATCTCAACAAGAAAGGGGAAAAGGTTAGATATAAAACAGGTCAAACAAACATAGATAAAAACATAAATGAAAGTTTCATTTTCTTTTTGTAAAAGTTGTATAGACTATTACAGCCCCCTACGTGCATCCTGGTGTTTCACTATGTTGATGTATTAGAATAGAAAAGATATGAATACTTTATTAGGTTGAAAAAAAACTAAAATTTGGATAGCTTTCCATATCATAAAAGAACATGATCATTTGTATTATGATATCTCTAATTTGTAAATGACTATGTTGACCCCCAAGAAAAATAAACTATAAAGCAACGTTCTTTGCAGTCATACCTGAAAGTGAACGAGTTTAGCAATGTTGGGATCGGCAATATACATTTGGTGCAACAGACAACAGATAAGGCACTGAACTTCCCGAAGATTACATAGCAGATTGTCTTCGCCTTCCTCCACCTCCTTACTCGGGCTGCTGCTGGTGATGACGCTCTGAACGTTTCTCACCAAGGTGTCTGGATTGACGCCCTTTGCTTTCTCCTCTTCAGTGGGTAAACAAATCTCCAAGAGAATCTGTACGGCGGCACTATCCTACAAGCAAATCACACAGTAAGAAGTTTCTGAGAAGCTGATTTGAAAATCAAACCTAGTTTTTTCCACATGAACAGAAACAGAAGAATAACTAGTTTCCTTAAAAACACACGCATAGTGGCTCTTGGAGCAGAAGTAAGGAATTTATAAAGCAATGTTCTCACCATTCTAGGGTCATGAATCCCTTAAAAATCTAGAAGACACCCTCTTTCCATAAAAATGAACAAACACTGCATCATTTCAGGGAAGGCATATATAACTAAGGCAGATCCACAGGTTCCAGTTTAAAAACATCTACTAGAAAGATAATCTGATTCAGTGACATCCAAAATAGGCCCTAAGGCAAAACAACTTCTACCAGAATTTCTCTTCCTTCCTCTTAATCTAATTTTCTTAGATCTTATCCTACATTTCCACCTTTTTCTCACTGGGCTACCAACTAGTAAATTCTTCCGAAGGTAGTGGGTAACTGTTAATGCCTAAATCACTTCCCATACCACTTTCCCTTTGCAACCTGAAGACAGGCTCAGGCCCCGGTTTTACAAGGACGGATTCTACCTCACCACCCAACCTACCTGCACAACTCACTGCAGTTCAGGCTGTAGCTGGAGTGTCATTTCATAGCAAAGTAGTTTTTAAAGGGTGACCTACTCAAGCCCCCTATATCTGAAGGAGAACTATAATCAATCTCATCTAGTGAAAAGGCATTACGGAGAGAGAGAAAGAAGACAGGACAAGCTTCTCTGTAAGACAGCCATCGGCTGGAGTAGAAAACAATGACATGATCGAAATGTTTAAGAGTCTGATTATTACAAAATTAGGTTAACTTTTCTTTGCAACAAAAGTTAGCCTTTCTTTACCACCTGTGCGTGAGGTTGACAGGTTTGGGAAGTGGCTTTGTTTTGTTCGGGGGAGGGAGGGATTTCTTGGTTGTTTGCTTTGTTTTCATTGATTTTATTTGCAGGCTATGGAGCCAGAGTACATAAGCATGATTTCTAACTCTGACATTACTAAATGTGTAACCTTGAGCAAATAACCTCTCTGGTCTCATTTTCCAAATCTGTCAAAATGCACATGATAATACACCATGTCTCACAGGTTGATTGTAAAAATTAAATGAGTTAATGTATATAAAGAACTGAGATTGGTACCTATGTAACTTTCCCATATATTAAGCTATATGTAGATGTTAAGTATGGTATTCTGATGCACAGTTCCTTATTCTAATTCATAGGGAAAGATTTACTTTTTTCTTTTTTTATGAAACAGGAATTTGCTATGTAATTCAGGCTGGCCTTGAACTCTCAGCAATCCTCCTTCCTCAGCCTCCAAAGTGCTGGAATTAAGGCATGCATCATCACCAGGCCAGGCAAACGATTTACTTTAGAACTCAGATATTTTCCCCTGAAGTACTGGGGACTGACCCCAGGGCCCATTGCTTCCTCTGTCATGGAGCTTCAGTAAGTTTCCCAGGCTGGCACAGAACTTGTGATCCTCTTGCCTCAGCCTACAAGTAGCTGGGATCATAGACATGTAACAACAACACACTTGGCCAGAATTTTTTAAAATGTAAAATTATGTAATAGTCCCAGCAGAAAATGGGGTAGCAAACACATTAATACCAAACATACCAATATTTATATTAAGCAAGAAAGAGACCATAGTGTTACAACAATTTAGGTCAAACTTTCCCACCAAATGAGTTTGCACCATATCAATTTTTTCTGCTAACTGAATTACAAAAGAAATGCCTCACTATCATAGCTCTTTTGGATTTCTGTACTTTAGGTTAGGGGTTGCAGGCTGGTATTATTACTCCTAATATTCCTACCACCAATGAGAAGATTTCAGAAAATATATTTCAAACTAAAAACAAATTTCTGCAGACAAACTGTTTAACATTTTATCATCTCACATCTGCTACATTATTCAAAAATGACTACCTAAGGTTTAGTGAAATTCTTTTTTTTTTTTTTTTTTGGTACCAGGAATCAAACTCAGGACCTTGTGCTTGCTAGGCAGGCACTTGTGCCACTGAGCTATATCCCCAGCCCAGTTTAGTGAAATTCTACATGGTTATAAAACTTTTTTTTTTTTTTTGTCTTCTTGAGACAGGGTCTTGTTGTGCAGTTCAGGCTGGCCTTGCACTCACTTTGTAGCCCAAGCTGGCCTTGAACTCGCAATGATCCTCCTGCCTCAGCTTCCTGAGTGCTGGGATTACAGGAGTGCGCCACCATGCCCGGCAAAACTTTCTAAATATAAAGTTTGTTTTTTTTTTGTTTTTTTTTTTTTTCCGGTACCGGGACTCGAACTCACGACCTTGCACTTGCCAGGCAGGCGCTGTGCTGCTGAGCTAAATCCCCAGCCCCTCTAAATATAAAGTTGAACTGCTTATATTGTCACAGTATTTATTACTGTATGCTTCTGGTTTTTCTGTTTACTGTTTACTGTCTGTCTCCAACATTTGACTTCCTTTCGTATATATATATATAAATTCCTGTTGTGAAGCTCATTCCTGGTGTAGGTAAGAGAGTCCATATAGGGCTGGGGATTTAGCTCAGCGGCAATAGCGCCTGCCTGGCAAGCGCAAGGTCGTGAGTTCGGTTCCTGGTACCGGAGAAAAACCAAAAAAAAAAAAAAAAAAAGAGAGAGTCCATATACTAATCAGCACAGAGTAACACCATCATCATAGATTCTCTGGAAACAGGAATACACAGAATGTCACAGCGCAACAGGCAGACTGCGCCATCCATTTCAGCAATGATGTCAGTAGGGAAGCCCTTACCCAGCTGAGTAAGTTTGACCCTAGCAAGCTGTACCTGAGCAGCCAGTAATGCATTTTTCAGTTCTTCTCTGGTAACTTCTGGGGCATCAGTTTGTCCAACTAAACCTATTGCATTATTCTGGGAAGGCCTATCTTGCTCTGCTGTTTCCTTCAGGTGAGCACTAAGGTAAGCTTTAGATGCAAGAAGATATCCATTCAACATGTGTAGAGTAATATCCATCAGGGGGGGACATCTAAAAGAAAAGATAGATATATCAAAAGAATATAAATGTATGCCCGAACATGGTCAATTCAGTTAAACAGAAAAACCTGAGTATCACAGAGTAGTAAATTCTCCTGCTGAAATATTACTTTCAATACATACTTTAATTTCCTATTCTCTATAGAGTATATAATTTCACCTGTTTCAACTTAACAGCTAAAATAAAATGTAATATAAGCTACAGAGAAAAAAATGCCCCCTTTTTTTTTGCAGAAAATGACGTTCCCCATAAACGTCTTAGACATGAGCTTGCAAAGCTGCTGGCCAAGAGGCATGTTCTGTGTGGAGAAGAGAGAGGCTGGGAGAGGTTATTTATCTTCTCCTGTTTCTCCGTTGGAGCAAGAGAACAAGACAAGTCTGTATGTACTCCTTAACCTGGGGAAGTTATTTACCGAGCCTTAGTTTCCTCATCTATAAAATAGGTACATGGTCATCCATTCCTCAAAGATTGTTGTAGATTAAATATAAATGAAATAAAAATAAATATTAAAAAGAACAACAAAAAAAGATAAACTAGTAACCACTGGAATTTTAAATGCCAAGCCCTTTGGAGGCTCCATTTCTTAGCCTGCATCACAGAGAAAACTAATGAGTGCACCTGACAGGTGCCACAGCTGGATTTATAATGGAAACACTGAGAACCACCTGAACATCCACCTTCGTCACTGCCTCAACTGTAGCCATGCTTCCCCAAATTGAAAATAAGAATCATCTTCCCTAAATTTAAGAATCACTTCTTTAAAAAATTTTTAAAAACTCAAGATAGCTGGACATGGTGGCAAATGCCTGTCACCCCCCTCTAGGGAGGCTGAGGCAGGAGGATAGCTGTGAGTTCGAGGGCAGCCTGAGCTACAAAGTGAGTTCAAAGTCAACCTGGATTATATACACAGTGAGACCCTGTCTCAAAAAAAAAAAAACAAAAAAACAAAAAAACCCACAACTCAAGCTCCAAACCAGACATTCTTACAGCTTCTAGAAAACACCCTGGTAATCTATCTATTGAAGACTACTATGCAGCATTTAAATAAGGTAGAACTATGCATAACTAATGTGAAAACATACTGAGAACAGAAAAAGGTTTGTTTTTTCTTTCTGTTTTGTTTTTTGAGATAGGGTCTCACTATGTAGTCCAGGCTGACCTTGAGCTAGCCTCACTGTGTAGCCCAGAGTGGCCTCAAAGTCATGGCAATGCTCCTGCCTCAGCCTCCTGAGTGCTAGGATTACAGGCATGAGCCACCGTGCCTGGCTCAAAAGTATTTTTTTTTTTTTTGCTTTTTTTCCGGTATCTGGAATCGAACTCAAGACCTTGTGCTTGCCAGGCAGGCGCTGTGCCGCTGAGCTATATCCCCAACTCCTTCAAAAGTATTTTTAAAAGAATAAAACAATGCCTATAATATTACTTAGGTTTCTTTAAAACCATCTGAAACCAAAAAAAAAAATATATATATATATATATATATACATACACACATATATATATTTATAAATTACTAAGTACACGAAAAAGTAAAACTACATATAACATTCTAACAAGTTTCCTCTGGAGATAAAGCTGAAATTGGTCAAAAGAGACCAAGAAAGAATCTGGCTTTTCTTCTCGTTAATCCTGATTTTATCAAAGGTGTACTCATTTCCGTACAGTGTGGAAACTGTGATCCATACATGAGAGGGAGCAGTACAGTGAATCCCCAGAGCTCATCACCCACCTTCGACAGACCCTACCCACTCTCCTAACACGTGCCAGGCTCACCACGACTGTCGTACCCTTTATGTATTTATACCTTTATGGTGTGTGGTGTTTTAAACAGTGACAATGTTAACTTAATAAAAAACAAATATTCAAAAGTGAAAAGGCAAAATAATAAAATAAAGGATAAAACTACAGGGCTGGGAATGTGGTTCAGTGGAAGGGCATATGTTTAACATGTACAAGACCCCAGGTTCAATTGCCAGCACTCTACCCCACAATAAAGGAAAAAACTTCAATATACAAAGACATGATATTATACATAGATGAAGAGCTCTTTAATAAAAAAGCTATTTTAAAAACCTAAATTAAAGGCTGTGCATGCTAGTACATGTCTATAATACCAGCACTTAGGAGGCTGAGACAGGAAGATCGCCATGAATTCAAGGCCAGCCTGGGCTACATAGTGAGTTCAAAGCCAACCTGAATTACATAGTGAAACCCTGTCTCAAAAATCAAAACAAGACAACAAAAACTATCTTAAAATATAAAGAAATACCAAGAGCTGCCTGGCATGGTGGCATACACCTGTCACCCCAGCACTTGGGAGGCTATGGCAGAAAAATCACCACAAGTTTGAGGCCACCCTGGTCTACAATAGCGAGTTCAAGGCCAGCTTGAACTTCATACCAAAACCCTGTCTCAAAAAGAAGAAAGAAATACCAATAACCAGTAAGTATGTTAAAATATTTAGCCAGGCATGGTGACAAACACATAATCCCAGCACTCAGGAGACTGAAGCAGGGGGATCGCCAGGAGTTCAAGGCCAATTTAAACTACATAGCAAGACCACTCTGTCTCCAAAAAGTAAAATGTTCAGTCTAACAATAAGATAAATTAAAATAGGAACCCATCCTTCATATGTACTACATAAAATAATTCAAGAAGGTGCAAGAAAGTATACAATATCAAACACTGCTATGGAATGTAAACTGGTTAGACCTTTCTAGATGACAGAATGAAACCATGAATTAAAAGCCTTAAAAACCAGGCATGGTGACGCATGCCTGTAATCCCAGCACTTAGGAGGCTGAGGCAGGAGGATCTGTGTGAGTTTGAGACCAGCCTGGGCTACAAAGTGAGCTCAAGGCCAGCCTGAACTGCATAGTAAGACCCTTGTCTCAAAAAGACAAAAAACAAAAAAGCCTTAAAAATAGCCAGGGATGGTGGTACACACTTGTAATCTCAGTACTCTGAGAGGCTGAGGCAAGAGGATTATAAATTTGAGTCCAGTCTGGACAATTTAGAAAGACCCTGTGTCAAAACTAAACAACAATGAAAAAGGGGGCGTGGGGATGTAGCTTAGTGCAAAGGCCCTGGTTTTAAATCCCCAACAGCACAAAATAAATAAATGAATAAAATACCCAGCAATAAATAAGGCATTGGATGAAGTGTAGCACATCTATAAAATGAGATACTATGTAGCCAATTAAGAAACAAATCTAAGAAACAATAAGAATAAGAAACAAATCTAATAACATCAGAAAAGGCTCACAAGTGGTACATCCAATTTTAGTACATGTACTACCGAAGCAAGCATGACAACTGGTACACCCAAAACATAAAAACACTGCATACATTTTGAAAGCATAACTTTATAACTCCCCTGAACGAAACCATCTGAGGTGATCCATCCAATTGATGTCATCTACATAAGTGGGTTTTAACACTGATAAATCATTTGTTTCAGAAGTGCTGCTTTTCCGCCAGGCACTAAAACAGCATGTTTGTAGCCCCCAAGTACTGTGACAGCTGCAGCAGGAGGATCACAAGTTCAAGGACAACCTGGTCAACGTATGGAGACCCTGTCTCAAAATTCAGAAGAAAGAGAGATGCAACCTAGTGGCAGAGTGTTTCCATAGCATGCAGGAGGTCTTGTGCGCATTCTCCAGTACTGGGAGGAAAAAAAAGCCTTCCTTCTAGAAATATTATTTACCATACTTTTCTTTTTATTAGATACTCCTGCCCGGCAAGTGCAAGGTCCTGAGTTCGATTCCCAATACCAAAAAAAAGTATCTTATTAGACACCTAACATGCCTCGCACTGTTTATTCTTCTGATTCCTATTTCCTGTGTAACCCTGATCTCACCGAAGCACACAAAGCTGAGCTAGCAGGTTTGTCACTTCTACTTCATCCCTTTGGTTGAATATACAGTATATCCCACGTGGTCTGCTTTCCTGTAGTTTCTCTCCTGTAGCCTGTCGGGTATACGGCTTCTTTCCCCAAATCACCACCTACATGACCTTCTAGCAGCTACATAACCTGACTCCAGTCTAACTTTCCCAAAAATTACCCCCCACTGCAAGCCTTTTTCTTTCTCACTCCTGTACTTTTGCTCACATTCAAAGCATTCTCAGATCCTGCACAACCTTAACCGCACTAATATATTATCTGTTCATCTAAACCCTAGGTCCATTCTTTAAAACACCCAAGTCCCATCTTTCTCGAGCTTCTTCCAGCATGCGTCTCTGTACCATTCATCTGCATATGGTCGTATTATTTACCTTTCCATTATGTCCTCTTTCCCCACGCACATGACAATCACTTGAAAGGCAGTCCCCTCAACTTACATACCTTTGACGTTACTTATCACTACAACCGGAAGAACATGGCATGGGGGGACATATTCCTGCATTTGGGAAGCTGAGGCAGGAGGACTGTGAGTTCAAGGACATCCTGAGCTAATCATGAGTTCAGGGTTGGCCTGGGCCACACAGTGAAACCCTGTCTCAAAAAACTGAACAAAAAAAACCAACTGGAAATTCAAATATTAATGATTTGAATTCACTGACTGCTTTTTGAGGTGAAATCACGTAACATATTTGACAAAGAATTAGAAGCAATGTAGACTCAGTGAAGCTGACAGCATAATTGAAGATACAGGCCAGGCATGGTGGCACACACCTGTAATCCCAGCACTCAGGAGGCTGAGGCAGGAGGATCAATATGAGTTTGAAGCCATCCTGGGCTACAGTGAGTTCAAGCCCAGCCTAAACTACACAGCAAGACCCTGTCTCAAAAATCAAAACACAAAAGAAAACAAAACAAAGTTTAAAGATATAGTCACAGTTTTAAGGTTTATAACAGTTCAAAATGAACCAGTTTTTTAAAATCCTTTCTCAACATACTAGCAGAAAAAGTGTTTCTTCACTGAGAGACAGAAGAGCCGCTACTCATGGTTAACAAGGCCAAGACTGACATTACTCCAAGGTTTCACTTCATTAACCACCTGCTGAATATATTTTTTACCCATATTGAATTTTAAACTAAATATATAGTTCATGAATATAAACAGTTAAAGAAAAAGACATATAGATCGTACTGCCTGAACATTAAGACACAAGGTTACATGGAATTTCTTCAAATTCTTTTCACTCTCTAGAGTATAACTCTATAGTAAAAGTGAAACTCGGACGACACATACCTGTAAACCCTCTGATCACACCTTAGGACGATAAGGGGATCTATCATCAGGTCATTCTGTGTATACTTCTGTTGCCGCACAAACTTTATGGAAGGCTGAAGTGCATTAACCGTCATTACCCACAGCCTGATGAGAAATTAGTTACAATAAGCAACGATGCAAGACAACACAATGGCCTAAATCACAA